AGCCACTGCTGTCGCACAACACTAAAGCAAAGCGGCAACGCTTAGGCTAAGGCGCGGGCTTCAGAGGAGCCTCCCTCGTAAAGTCACAAGTGGCTGATGGCGTACTCGTCAAATGCCTTTTTGTTTTGCTCAAGATGCTGAATTTGCAGAAATTATCTTTTCATGATCTCTCTTTTGCCCTGACTCCGCGTGCCACTGGAGCTTAAGCTTTGCCCTATGCATTTACCTCCTTCTAGTGCCGCGAAGCAGCTGCAGCAGTATTCAGCTTACACTGAAGGTGGGGGGCTTGTGAAGCGGCACATAATGCAGAAGTGAGATCTGTTGCGCCTTGCGAGTCACTTCTGTTCTCCGGAAAGTTTGACTTACTGAACATGGGATTCCGCGACTGGCCACCAACCTCCGATAGCGCTGGCTCTGCGTGCCGTCATTCGAGTGGGTTTGGAATGAAAAGTAACACTGCAGAATCAGAAGGCTGAGAGCCACTGCAAACACTGCAGTGGCAATGCTCGCGAGACTTGGAGGATTGGGTCCGTTCCTGATCTTCGCCGTCGACACGACAGGCAACTGCAGAGTAGGATCGACATTCAGATTATATAAACTTTGGCTCAGTGCAGATGTGCCTTCTTGTTCCTGGAATCCGTTTGCAAGAATGGCCAGGAAGGCAACAGAGGTGAAGAGGAGTGAGAGGGAACTCCACATCTCAAAGGCACGCGCCATCGCGAAGAAACCTCAGCACTTGTATTTGTCTTTTCTCGCTAATTGTGCCAATAAGGCACTTTTAACTTGTGAAGTTCAGTATCTGCTCACAGACTCGTTGCTCGCCGATTGCCCCAGAACCTGTTGAGGCTGTAGCATCGAGAGGCCTGGCCCCAGTGCTCCTATGCCACATAGTCCTCGTTTATTTATTTGCACATCTCTTCAAAACTAAAAATGTTCATAAAATATGCGCGAAAATGCGAAGCATTGAACGCGAAGGCCAAACTATTCTCACTCTGAGTGGACACTATCAGTGCACTGGTCGGCGCCGACTGCCATTTTGGAAACATCAAGTAAGATATTTAAACATGAAGTTCTGAAATATATTCCTCGCTTCAGAATAAATCCTATTTACATTTTTGCAGTGAAATTCTGCCATTCTTCTTCTCCGTTGGCCTGCGCCCTACAACTGTCTTTACGCGGGATGTTCAATGGTCAGCTCTTAAGAAAAGAAACAAACTTGAACTCGCCATTTATTTGCATCTGGTTAGACTCTTAAAGTCCAGTGGCGGCTTTGAACTTCTCTTAAACACTGCACGTCTTCCTCTAGAGGTGGGCTCTTTGCTTAGTCTTTAAGCCCAGGGTCTTCTTCGCAAGCATGCCTTAGTGCTTACTGTGTGTTCTAACTTGCAAACCTTACTAGAGTTTATCTCGAAAGCACAGATTAAATGCATGTTTGGAGGAAACAGCTTTAATTCTTAAGCTGACTTTGTGTTTCTGCACGAAGTTGCTGCAGCCGGAGAGGCTTTGTTGTTTTTTAACAGACTCGGATTCTCAAGGCTGAGTGAATTAGCTTTCTGAATAACTGTAAACATGCATGCATTTCAGTTCCTTAGGAAGCAGGAAATGAAACTCATGCATGTTTACAGTTATTCAGAAAGCCAATTCGCTCAGCCTTGAGAATCCGAGTCTGTTAAAGAAAAAAAGTAACTTCTGGAAGAGAGAATACAAAAACATGAAAGGACTTCATGGAAAACTTTCAGCTTTTATCTTTTTCTGCCATTATGAAAGAAGAAAATCGCTCTACTGAAAGCGAAGGCAGAAAACTTGAATTCGCGAGCAATAAGAAATCAGAAAGTGTGAACTCGTTTCTGAAAGAAAGCCACAATTGCCACTTTCGCTGATATCCCTGAAGCTTTGTTCAGTTTATTGTTTTTTGTTTTAAATAATAATGCAAAAACAAAATGTTTTCCGAAAACGGACTCTCTTATTTGAAGTGAGTTCAACTTTTGCTCATTCTACTTGTTTCGGCATGTGTGTTCTCCCGATAAATTAATTAAAATGTTATTATCCTCTTTGAGCAATTTAAATGAATTCACAAAGTTCTAGATGTACTGTTCTCAACAGATTCTTAGAACTTAATGTCCTTTTCATGTAAAGCACTTGGCCGCAAAAAGATTTTCGAGAATAAAGAGTTGCTGTTTCTTTTAAAACTTTCAAATTTTCCTGAGAGCTATTTTCGACTTGTGCCCAAAGTCAAACACAAAGATAATTTAAACACAAATATATATATAATATATATATATTATATATAATATATATATAATACAATAGCCTTCTTAACATTTTAAAAGATGAAGTTGCCATTTCTGACTTTGAATGACTTCTGTGATGAAAGTTTCTGGTTTTGTAATGGCCAGAGAAGCCGCTGCCTTTGGAAAGTTAGGAACTTTACTGAAATGGAACATTAAAAAGAACTTTCTGTTTTCTTTAAACTTGAATGATGCTTCTAATGAAAGCCTTCCCTTCTGCTTATTCTTTAAGACATTGTCTTAAGGAATAAGGAAGTTCAATAAAAGAAAATGCCACAAAAATGCCACAAAAATGCCACAAAATGCCACTTTTTGTTACGAATTCGAAGATCTTTAATGATGGCTTTGTTGTGTTGTGTGCATGCAAAGGCTTTCTTAAATAATCCAGAAGTTGATTTTTCCTGCTGCAGCTCCGCAGCAAGAGAAAGCAGCAAAAACTTGTCGATTAAAACGGAAAAATAAAATACTTTTAAAAGAATTTGAATTCAAAATTAAATTCAAAGAAAGCTGCTTTCTTGAGTCAGAACAGATTCCAACTTCAGCTGACAGCAGCGCAGCAGCAGCAGCGCAGCAGCAAACTCAAAGAAGCAGCAGAAGCAGCAAAAAGAGGCCACAGTGCAGCAGCAGCACAAACCTCCACTGCAGCAAACTTTTCAGCTTTCTTCTTTCCTGCGCCATTTCATAACTTTAAATAAGAAGGACCCTTTGCAAGCAGCAGCAGCAGCAGAAGCAGCAGCAGCAGCAACAGCAGCAGCAGCAGCAGCAGCAGCAGATGGACTGGCTGCTACCCAAAGCCCCTTCAAACGAGACAAAGATCTTGTTTTATTTTGCATTAATGTGATATTAGACAAAGCAAAATAAAACAAATTTAAAAAAACGAAACTGCAAATTAAAAATTCTTTTGCAATTCTCTCGAGGCAGATCTTCTGTGTACAGACACTCGGATTTTCTTTTCTGAAAATCTTCAGAGGCAAATTTATTTGTAAACACAAAAAAGAGAAAGCAATAACAACAGCAACTGCTGCTGCTGCTGCTGCTAGCTACTGCTGCTGCTGCTGCTGCTGCTCCTGCTTCTAGCTACTGCTGTCGCTGCTGCTGCAGCTGCTACTGTTTCTAGCCACTGCTGCTGCTGCTTGTGCTTCTAGCTACGACTGCTGCTGCTGCTGCTGCTGCTTCTAGCTACTGCTGCTGCTGCTGCTTCTAGCTGCTGCTGCTGCTGCTGCTTCTAGCTGCTGCTTTTGCCTCTGTTTCAAAGTGCTGCTGCTGTCCATCCGCATTGGCTGATTAGCCCAAGGCTTTAGCTTTTTAAAATGCTGCTGTTGCTGCAGCAGCTTAGCAGCAAATTAAACCAATTAGACAATTATAAATATTATATATCTACTAATTAAATATTTATTTATTTATTTATTTATTTATTTATTTATTTAAATATTCATTCAATTACTGGTAAAGACAAATAGTTCACATTCGCTACTTTTGCTGCCCCTAGATTGTTTTCTAGTTTTTGTTTCCCAATAAATAAAACAAATAAAACAAATAAATAAATAAATAAATAAATAAATAAATAAATAAATAAATAAATAAATAAATAAATAAATAAATCATTAGAAAATATAGATATTATATTTGTATCAAAATGCAGACAAGTGCATGCATGTCCTTATAAACCAACTCGTGCATTAATATGCTCAAGTTGCTTATCCTGTGCATGCATTTGCATGCAATTGCATGCAATTGCATGCATTTGCATGCATTTGCATGCGTTTGCATGCATTTGCATGCGTTTGCATGCATTTGCATGCATTTGCATGCAATTTGTGGACATTGGAGGAAAACAAAATTAAGATTTTTCTTAACTCCGGATTTGCGCAGTGGCATACTTTGCTGCAGTGGCGCGGAGCTGCTGCAGCAGGACTTTGCAGATTAGGAGTCAAAAGTGTTATTAGAAAAGAATTAACTTTATTAAAAAGCCGGAATTAAGAAAAATAATATAATAGTTCAATTAAAAGAAAAGAGTTTTAAATGAGAAGAGCTTTTTAGGTGTTCAGCGAACGCGGCGAAGCAGAACTGTTTTGGGGTGTACGTACACCCCGCAACTTAGATGCACTTGTTCAGTTTTCGCTGAAGTTGAATTTAAAAGAAATTCAAAAACGAACAAATGCGCACCCCCCAACTGAAAACTCAGTCAAGCCTTGCCTCAACAGCAGCAGCAGCAGCAGCAGCAGCAGCAGCAGCAGCAGCAGCTGGCGCTCCCGCTGCTGTTGCTGCTGCTGCTGCTGCTGCAGTGGTCTGGTGTCGAAGCAGGGGGCTGCCAGCTGCGCCGCGGCCGCAGCCTTTTAGTTGCAGAGTATTTTAATGCATTTTGGGAAAGGGAATTGTTTAATAAATGAAAAAATGAATTAATTGTTTGCAATTTGAAGAAAGCTGAACTTGGCGGGAGCGGCGTTCGGGTGTCTGTACAGTCTCAGCAGCCCCAGCTGCTGCTCCGCGAGTTTCTTTGCTGCTTCGACTCAAAACAATTCCATTTGCAACAAATTTTTCATTTTATTCATTTCAATTGCATTTTCCCTCCATTTAATTCGCGTGGAAGGCCTCAATCCCTCCGCAGTGCGCAGCAGCGCAGCAGCACTGCTGCTGCGCCTGCCCGCTGCTGCTGCTGCTGCTGCTGCTGCTGCTGCTGCTGCACTGCGCGAGCCGCCGAATTCCCCGAAAATGGAAGATAATGGACTTGTTCAGTTCGGGCCTTTTCTTCCCGGCCAAGAAACTCAAAAAGAGGAAACTGAAGAAGAAGAGGGGCCCCCGCTGCTGCTGCCGCCGCCGCTGCTGTACCCGCGGGGTGTATGTACAGCCGCGTGGGACAAGGCGCGGCTGCAGCTCGCGCTGCTGCTGTCTCGCGCTGCAGCAGACGCGGGCGCAGCGCCGTCGACTGCTGCTGCTGCTGCTGCTGCCTTCCACCTGAGCCTGCCTTCCTTCTTCCACATCGATGCTGCTGCTGCTGCTTCGTGTCTTGCTGCTGCTCTCTTCTTAGCAGCAAAAGCAGCAGACGAGGAGTTCAACTTGCGGCGAGTGGTGGCCTCTTTGGGGTTTTGCTGCCACCACGCGTCTGCTGCAGCGGAGCAGCAGCAGCAGCACAAGCAGCAGCAGCACAAGCAGCAGCAGCTCAAGCAGCAGCAGCAGCAGCAGCAGCAACTCGCAGCAGAATATGTCCCGCTGGGAATCAAAGAATACTGGAAGCAAAGACACAGCTGCTTCTTGGAGGAGCAGCGGCTGATGCAGGCCTTGGGTTTTTCGCTGCCAAACCCCACACTGTGGCAGCAGCTGCCGCTGCTGCTGCTGCTGTCGCGCTGCACTGCAGCAGAAGCAGCAGTGGCAGCAGCACTTGCTGCAGACGCTGCAGCAGGACCTCTCGCTGCTGCTGCTGATCAAGAAAGAGTTGTTCTTGCTGCTGCTTGTTTGCTGGCGAGGAAGCTGGTGCGGCGGTTCAAGGAGCGGAACAAGCAGCAGCAGCAGCAGCAGCAGCAGCAGCAGTGGCTGCACTCGCCGCAGGCTGCTGTTGCTGCTGCTGTTGCTGCCACGCCCGAACACAAAGCAGCAGCAGCAGAAGCTGTGCTGCTGCTCGAAGACGAATTCGGTGCTGCTGCTGCTGCTGCTGAAAACGACACCCACAACTTCCTGCTGCGGCTGCTGCCGCTGCTGCAGGGCATCGGCAGCAGCAGCGACCAGTGCAGCAGCAGCAGCAGCAGCAGCAGCAGCAGCAAAACCCCCCTTTGCCACCAGCTCGCAGCAGCAGCAAAAAAGATGCTGCTGCAGTACGCGCTGCTGCTGGACGACAGCCACGGCCACCAGGTGTACAGACACCTCGCCGCCGGGGACGGCTGATTCTCTTTTCTCTTTAGCAAAAATTTTGGCATTTATTTTATTTTATTTTATTTTATTTTATTTTATTTTATTTTATTTTTTATTTTTTAATTCCCAATTGTCTGCAATTCTAGAGAGATTTAGAGCTTCTTGAAGCGCCCAGTTTGCTGTGCTGCAGCAGCTCTTGCCATGCGCTTTAGCTGCTGCTGCTGCCGTTGCTGCTGCTGTTGCTGCTGCTGCTGCTGCAGCAGCAGCTGCTGCTGCTGCTGCTGTGCACGAGGCTGCTGCAGCACTGGGGCTGTTTAGTCTGGGCTGCCAGGTGCAGACCCTAAACCCTAATCCTTCTAAACCCTAAACCCTAGTTAGCTGCTGCTGCGTTCCAGGATTGCTGCTGCTGCCGCTGCTGCTGCTGCTGCTGCCGCTGCTGCTGCTGCTGCTGCTGCTGCTGCTTCGTTGTCTAGCGAATTTTATTTATTTACAAATTTATTTATTTTTAATGAATAAATTTGAGAGAAAATAAAGACAGGCAGCAGCACGGAATTGACTAATAGCTGCAGCGGACGGCGGGTAGCTGCTTGCTGCTGCCGCAGGTTGCTGCTGCTGCTGCCTGCTGCTGCTGCAGCTTGCTGCTGCTGCTGCCTGCTGCTGCTGCAGCTTGCTGCTGCTGCAGCTTGCTGCTGCTCCTTGCTGCTGCGGCAATATTTAGATCGCTTTGCATGCGAGGAGTTCCTTCTTTAAAATGTTTTTTATTTATTATTTATTATTTATTATTTATTTGTTATTTATTTATTATTTATTTATTATTTATTTATTTAATTTATTATTTATTTATTTGTTTATTTGATTTATTCGTTCATTGTTTCATTCTTTGTTTGCTGTCTCGTTTGTCCAGCTGTCGTTTATTTATTTGTTCTTTTTGTTTCTTTATTGTCTAAAATTGACTTTCATGTTTATTTATTTTTGAATTTATTTTTTTTAAATTTATTTATTTATTTATTTATTTATTTATTTTTTTAAAATTTATTTATTTATTTATTTATTTATTTATTTATTTTTATGTTTACTTTTTTATCTGTGGGCGTCTGCTGCATTTGATCCTTTTGAGTTATTTGAGATTAAAAGAAAGGAATTTGAAATTAAATTGAAATTGAATTTAAATTGAAATTAAATTTAAATTGAAATTGAATTTAAAATGAAATTTAAATTAATTATTTTTTAATTTAAATAAATAATTAAAATGAATTTAATTCAAAGCATTTGAAAATTCAAAAACGAAGCAGCTGCCAGTGCAGCAGCAAGAAAAGCCGTTAATTCAATTAATTTAAATTAATTTAATTTAATTTAAACTTTTAATTTTATTTGCATTAAATTCATCAAAAAGTAAACTAATTTCGTTTTATTCTGTCGATTCAGCTTAAAATATCACAATTAGGGTTTAGGGTTTAGGGTTTAGGGTTTAGGGTTTAGGGTTTAGGGTTTAGGGTTTAGGTATTGGGGTGTACAGACACCTCAGTCTGTCACCTCGCAGATTGAACGCATGCATAAATACCATTTCTTTATTTCATTCTTTAAAATTATTTTAAATTATAATTTCTTTATTTTGTTTCTTTAATATCTCTTAATGTTTCATTTCTTTTCTGCTGTGTGCGTGCCTCTGTGCTGCTGCTGCTGCTGCTGCTGCTGCTGCTGCTGCTGCTGCTGCTGCTGCTGCAGTTCAAAATTCAGAAGCTGCAGGTCTTTATTTGCGTTCAAACCCTAAACCCTAAACCCTAGGGGAGTGCAATTGGTGCAACTTTGCGTACATTTCGGATTTATCTTTTTGATTATTTTGTTTTTATTTTAATTTAAAAATTAAATAATTTAAAATAAAATAATTTAAAATAAATAATTTAAAATAATTCTGCAAAATAAATGAGACAGCTTTGGTGGTTTGTTTGCATGCGCTGCCGACTCTGCTGCCGGTCGTCTGCGGTCAGGGTTTAGGGTTTAGGGTTTAGGGTTTAGGGTTTAGGGTTTAGGGCTAAGGGTTTAGGGTTTAGCGTTTAGGGTTTAGGGTTTAGCGTTTAGGGTTTAGGGTTTAGGGTTTCAGTTTGGTGCTTAGGGTTTAGAGGTTAAGAATTTGCCTCGGCTGCAAGCCGTTGAACGGGGCCCCTCGACAGCCCCTGCGTGGCTGTTTAGGGTTTAGGGTTTAGGGTTTAGGGTTTAGGGTTTAGGGTTTAGGACTGTGGTCCAGCAGCAGTAGTAACAGCAGCATTAACTCATTTTTTGCTGCTTGCACAGCAGCACACAGCGCGACTGCCACTCTGCTGCTGCTGCTGCTGCAGCAGCAGCTGCTGCTGCGGTTGTCCGGTGTCTCTTAACACCCGTAGACCCTAAACCCTAAACCCTAAACCCTAAACCCTAAACCATAAACCCTAAACCCTGAAGTGGCGAGATGGACGTTTTGCGGGCCTCGGCGTCTCGCTGGGCCTTTGAGCCCTCGGGCGGCGCAGCGCAGCAGCTGCAGCAGCAGCAGCAGCAGCTGGCAGCAGCAGCAGCAGCAGCAGCAGCAGCAGACGAAAGCATGCGCTGCGAGGCCCTCTTCTTTAGGGAAGCTGATGAAACGCTGCAGCAGCTGCAGCTGCTCGCCAGCCTCACAAACCAAGCAGCAGCACTTGCTGCTGAGCAAGCAGCAGCAGCAGCAGCAGCACCACCACCACCACCAGCAGCAGCAGCAGCAGCAGCCCCAGCGGCAGCAGCAGCCCCAGCGGCAGCAGCAGCAGCGGCAGCAGCACCAGCAACAGCAGCACCAGCAGCAGCAGCACCAGCAGCAGCACCACCACCAACAGCAGCACCAGCAGCAGCAGCAGCACCAGCAGCAGCAGCAGCAGCAGCAGCAGCAGGGCAGCTGACGGCTTCGAATGTGCAGCAGTGGCTGCAGCAGTTCTGCAGCACAGCAGCAAGAGTTGTCCATACACTCGAACAGTACCAGGAGCAGCCGCTGCTGCTGGACCCTCACCTGCCGCAGCAGCTGCAGGTGCTGCTGCTGCCGATTCAGGAGCATTTGCTGCTGCTCACCGCGCACTCCCTGCAGCAGCAGCAGCAGCAGCAGCAGCAGCAGCAGCGGGAGAGGGGGGGCTGGGCCGCAGCAGCAGCTTGCTGCTGCCTGCGGCTGCTGCTGCACCTGGTGTACGTACACTGCAAAGTCAGGGGGGCAAAGGCCATCCGCAATTTGCTGCCGCAGCAGCCCGAGCTGCTGGAGCCCGTTTTCGCAGCAGCAGCAGCGCTGCAGCAGCTGCAGCAGCAGCAGCAGCAGCAGCAGCAGCGGCAGCAGCAGCAGGACAAGAGCCACGAGGAGGAGACCCTGCAGCAGCAGACTCAAGAAGCCTCAAGTGCTGCTCCTGCCGCTGCAGCAGCACGATCTGCTGACGCAGGAGCAGCAGCAGCAGATGCAGCAGCAGCAGCAGCAGCAGATGAAGCAGCAGCAGCAGCAGCAGCAGCAGATGCTGTTGCTGCTGTGGCGGACACACTGCCCATATGGAGTTCAGTCTTTTCTCTTTTTGTGTGGCTCTCTTTGCTGCTGCTGGCTCCCTTTAGTTTATTATCTTTAGACTCAAACCAAACCCAGCAGCAGCAGCAGCAGCAGCAGCAGCAGCAGCAGCAGGGGGAGCAGGAGCAGCAGCAGGAAGAGGAACGGCAGCTGGCGCTTGCTGCTGCTGCTGACGCGCCGCTCGGCCTGCGGCTGCTGCACCTGGCCCTGAGCTGCTGCAGCAGCAGCAGCAGCAGCAGCTCGAAAGCAGCAGATGCTGCTGCGCTGCTGCTGCAGTCCCTTTTTCTGCGGCCCGATGTCCACGAGCAGCAGCAGCTGCTGCTCAGGGCCTTTCTCCGCCACTGCGAGCTCACGCTGCTGGGCCCGCAGCAGCAGCAGCAGCAGCAGCCGCAGCAGCAGCAGCAGCAGCAGCAGCCGCAGCAGCAGCAGCAGCAGCAGCAGGGCCTGGAGGACAGCAGCACCGCGAGCCTCTTCGGCTCAGAACAAACCAATGGCGAGTCTTCTCTCCGCAGCAGCAGCAGCAGCAGCAGCAGCAGCAGCAGCAAGATAAATAGCGAAGCATCTATTATTAATTAATTAATTAATTAATTAATTAACTAATTTATTTATTTTAAAAATATTGGATTTTATTTGTTTTTTCTTTGCTGCTTTTTCTTTTGCTTATTTTGTCTCTTTTGCCTCCTTTGGCTGTGCTGCAGCAGCAACATAAGACGCAGCAGCAGCAGCTTCAGCAGCAGTGCTGCAGCAGCAGCAGCAGCAGCAAATAAGTGTTTGTGAACGTGTGTTTTGCTGCTGCTGCTGCAGCAATGGCGGGGCTGCAGAAGGTTTTGAAGTCCCTGCGAGCAGCAGATGCTGCTCCGCTGCTGCCGCGTCTGCAGCGCCTGGTGCTGCAGCAGCAGCAGCAGCAGCAGCAGCAGCAGCAGCTGGGGGGCTCAGCTTTGCTGCGGAAGCACCAAGCAGCTTCTGCTGCTCTCCTGGCGCTGCTGCTGCTGCCCAAGCGCAGCACCACCTGGCGCTACAGCGTCAACGCGCGTTCTCTCGAGCTGCTGCTGCAGCAGCAGCAGCAGCAGCAGGGGCTCGGCGAGCAGCAGCAGCAGCAGCAGCAGGGGCTCGGCGAGCAGCAGCAGCAGCAGCAGCAGCAGCAGCAGCAGGGGCTTGGCGAGCAGCAGCAGCAGCAGCAGCAGCAGGGGCTCGGCGAGCAGCAGCAGCAGCAGCAGCAGCAGCAGCAGCAGGGGCTCGGCGAACAGCAGCAGCAGCAGCAGCAGCAGCAGCAGCAGCAGGAGCCGGAGGAAGAATTGTCTCCGGAAGCAACAGAGACTGTAGCAGCAATTGTGTCTCTTCTGCTGCAGCGCCTGGCAGACACAGACACCCGAGTTCGCTGGGCAGCAGCAAAAGGCATCGGGAGACTTTGTTTGTCTCTTTCCAAAAGCTTTGCGGAGCAGGTGAGCAGCAGCAGCAGCAGCAGCAGCAGCAGCAGCAGCAGCAGCGGCAGCAGCAGGGTCAGCGGCAGCAGCAGGACTTCGCTGGGCAGCAGCAAAAGGCATCGGGAGACTTTGTTTGTCTCTTTCCAAAAGCTTTGCGGAGCAGGTGAGCAGCAGCAGCAGCAGCAGCAGCAGCAGCAGCAGCAGCAGCGGCAGCAGCAGGGTCAGCGGCAGCAGCAGGAGCGCAGCGGCAGCAGCAGGCGACGCAGCAACAGCTGCTGCTGCACCCTCGGCGGTGAAATCGCAGTAATATTAGCTCTGTTGCTATTGCTGCTGCTGCTGTGCTGCTGCTGCTGCTGCTGCTGCTGTTGCTGCTGCTGCTGCTGTTGCTGCTGCTGCTGCTGCTGTTGCTGCTGCTGCTGCTGCTGTTGCTGCTGCTGCTGCTGCTGCAGGTTTGCTGCGCCGTGCTGGAGCCGTTCGAGGCGGCGACTGCGCCGCTTCCGCCGACGGCAGCAACCGGCGCAGCAGCAGCAGCAGCAGAAGGGGAAGCAGCAGCAGCAGCAGCAGCAGCAGCAGCAGCAGCAGAGAGAGGATGGAACGAAAACGTACTGGGGGACTCTTCTGCTGCAGCAGAGCGGCTGCTGAGCGGCAGCTGCCTGGCCGTGGCGGAGCTGCTGCGGCTGGGGGTGGTGCAGCAGCAGCAGCTGGAGGGGGCCTTGAACTTTGTGTGCCGCTGCTTGCTGTACCCCGGCCGCAGCAGCAGCAGCAGCAGCAGCAGCAGCAGCAGCAGCAGCAGCAGCTTGTCAGGGGCCTCTGTGCGGGACGCGGCCTGCTACGGGGCCTGGGCCTTCGCGCGCAGCTACCCAGCAGCAGCAGCAGCTTTGCTGCTGCGGCGGCAGCTGGGCCGCCACTTGCTGCTGGTGCTGCTGTTCGACTCTGCTGTTGCTGCTCGTCGTGCTGCTGCTGCTGCTTTTCAAGAACTCGAAGGAAGACAAGGGCTGCTGCAGCAGGGCCTCAGTGTCATTACACTTGCGGACTACTTCACTGTCGGCAGCAGACGCTGCTGCTTCCTCACTGCAGCGCCCGCAGTTGCTGCTCTCGAGCCCCAGCAGCAGCAGCAGCAGCAGCAGCAGCAGCAGCAGCAGCAGCAGCAGCAGCGGTACGCGCAGGAGCAGCCGCTGTCTATTGTGCTGCTCGAGTACCTCTGCTGCCGAGTGTACAGACACCCCGACCCCCAAATGCGGCGGCTTGCTGCTGCTGCTGTTCTCAGAATAGCTCCTTTTGCTGCTCCTTATGCTGCTGCTGTGAGTTGCTGCTGCCGCTGCTGCTGCTGCTGCTGCTGCTGCTGCACTAAACAGCAAAATATATTTAGACCAAGTGTCCCCAAATATTTGCACAGATGTAAATGCACTAGTAGCAGCAGCTAGCACCATCTTCCTGCTGCTTTCCGCAGCGCTTTGTCCAGGCTCCTGCTGCTGCTGCTGCTGCTGCTGCTGCTGCTGCTGCTTGTATTCAGGTGCTGCTGCCGCAGCAGCTGCAGCGGCTGCAGCAGCAAAGCGCTCCTTTGGAGGAGTGCCACGGGGCCTTGCTGCTGCTTGCCTCCTTGGTTGGGGCTTTGCGAGCAGCACCAGACCCTGCTGCTGCTGCATCCAAAGTTGGAGCAGCAGCAGCAGCAGCAGCAGCAGCAGCAACTTCCACTGCTGCAGCAGGTGCAGCTCCTGTAGAGGGGCCACGAGCTGCAGCGGCAGCAGGCGCTCCCGCAGCACCAGCGGAACCAGCAGCAGCAGCAGCAGCAGCAGCAGCAGCAGCAGCAGAGGCAGCAGCAGCAGCAGATACAGTTGCAGGAGTTTAGGCACCGCCATTTGCAATGGAAATGAACAGAGAAGCAGCAGCAGCAGCGTAAGCAGCAAAGGAACTACTGCAGCAGCACTAGTTGCTGCAGCAGCTGCTGCTGCTGCTATGTATTATGGCTGCTCCTTAAATGCAGAGTGTGTCTGTCTTGCTGCTGCTGCTGCTGCTGCTGCTGTTGCTGCTGCTGCTGCTGCAGCGAGCAGCAGCACTTGGGCATTTAGGCGCGCCACCTGCAGCAGGTATCTGGAGACTTGCTTCGACAGCCTCAAATCATTTGCTGCTGCTGTGCAGCTTGCTGCTGCTGAGGCCATTCGGGCGCTGCTGCTGCACCGCATGCAGCCGGAGCAGGCGCAGCAGCAAGTCCTCCCCAAGCTGCTGCTGCTGCTGCAGCAGCAGCAGCAGCATGTCGCAGCCCGCAGCGGGGCCCTCTTAGCAATCGCAGCGCTGCCTCCCAAGGTGTACCGCCTGGCGCTGCTGCAGCAGCAGCAGCTGGAGCAGCAGCAGCAGCAGCAAGAGCAGCAGCAGACTCAGCAGCCACAGCAACAGCAGCAGGAGCAGCCGCAGCAGCAGCAAGAACAGCAGCAGACTCAGCAGCCACAGCAACAGCAGCAGGAGCAGCCGCAGCAGCAGCAGCAGCAGCTCGAGTCGCAGCAGACGCAGCAGCCACAGCAGCAGCAGCAGCAGCTCGAGCCGCAGCAGACGCAGCAGACGCAGCTGCAGCAGCAGCAGCAGCTGTTGCTGCTGCCGACTCTGCTGCGGGAAGCAACAGCAACAGCTCCCTTGGGTTCTGCTGCTCTCAATGACCCCCACACCAGAAGACACGCGCTTCTGGCTCTGGCCTTTCTAATAGAATCTGTTTCTCCCCTGCATGCAGCAGCAGCAGCAGCAGCAGCAGCAACAGCAACAGCAGCAGCAGGAGCAGCGGCGGAGGCAGCAGCAGGGGCAGCAGCAGGAGCAGCTGCTGCTGCTGAGGGCGCTGCTGCTGCAGTCAGTGCGGCTGCTGATGGTAGTGAGAGCGATGGCGGTGGCAGTTCTACTGCAGCAGCAGTGGACTGGGGGTCCGTGGTGAGGTGTCTGTACACCTGCGCAGCAGACTTCGCTGCAGACCAAAGAGGAGATGTGGGGAGTTGGATAAGAGAAGTTGCTGCTGAAGTTGCTGCTCTCATTCTGGAGTCCTTTCCTTACTGCTGCAGCAGCAGCAGCAGCAGCAGCAGCAACACAGGCGGTGGCAGCGGCAGCAGCGGCAGCAGTATCACTCCTCACGATACCCAGCAGCAGCAGCAGCAGCAGCGGAAGCAGCAGCAGGAGCCACGGGAGCTGCAGCCTTTCGCTGCAGAACAAACCCCCAGTCAGCAGCAGCAGCAGCAGCAGCAGCAGCAGCAGCAGCAGCAGCGTGCTGCTGCTGCAGTGGGTCCTGACGTGCAGCAGCGGCAGCAGCTGCTGCTGCTGCTGCTGCGGCTGTCCTTCGAAGCACTAACCCGCACCCGCAGCAGAGCAGCATTTTTGCTGGGGCGTTTGCTGGCCCCAACAGCAGCAAACCCGCAGCCATTCCAAGTGACTCTAAACCCTAAACCCTAAACCCTAAACCCTAAACCCTAAACCCTCATTTGGGACACAGACGAGAAACGGGCTAGATTTCCTGCACGTGCTGCTGCTTTCCCTGCTTTTGCTGCTGCGGAGCTCTTAGCAGCAGCAGCGGCGACAGCAGCAGCAGGTTGCATTGCTTTGCTGCTGCTGCTGCTGCTTTTGCTGCTGCTGCTGCTGCTGCTGCTGCTGGTTTCTGTTTAGGCAAAATGGATTTGGCAGCGAGTGCTGTATGAAGTTGCTTACGAGATGACTGCGCAGCTGTACGTACACCCTGCTGCTGTTGCTGCTGCTGCTGCTGCTGCCAACCGGCGCGAGCCCAGCTGCTGCTGCCCGGGCTGCAGCAGCAGCAGCGGCCACGGCAGCAGCAGCAGCAGCAGCAGCAGGTGTTTGCTGTGGCCGTTTGCGCCCGCCGCGCTGCCGCTGCTGCAGCACGCCTTTGGTTTGCTGCTGCTGCGGCAGCAGCAGCAGCAGCAGGAGATGCAGCCCGAGGAGCCCTTCGCAAAGCAGCAGCTCTCCTCCCTGCCCCCTATTCAGCAGCAGCTACCGCAAACCAGCAGCAGCAGCAGCAGCAGCAGCAGCAGCAGCAATGAGGCCTTGTATCGCCCTTTTGAAGAGGGAGGTGCAGCAGCACTTCAGAGAACTCACAAAGCAGCAACAGCTCTGCGGCTGCTGCTGTTTTGCGACGCCTTTGAGGTGTACAGACACCTCACGCCGCTGCTGCTGCTGCAGCAGTTTGCTGCTGCTGCTGCAGCAGGCGCTGCACTGGGCCTGGGGGCCTCTCTTGGCAGCACAGCAGCAAGCGCGCACGGCGGGGCCCTCACAGCTCTAATGCTTGCAGACCGCATGCAGCAGCAGCAGCAGCAGCAGCAGCAGCCGCAGCAGCAGCAGCAGCAGCAGCAGCAGCAGCAGCAGCAAAAGGCTATGTTTGACGTGGCAAAAGATGATGCTGCTACTTACGAGGGTCTCGTCGCAGCTGCGCTGCGGGCGCGCAGCGAAGTTTGCTGCAGTGAGAACGTGCAGCAGCAGCAGCAGCAGCAGCAGCTGCAACAGCAGCAGCAGCAGCAGCAGCAGCTGCAGCAGCAGCGAGTAGTTGCTGAGGTTGGAACTGCCATCACTGATGTGCTTATAAGCGCCTGCGGCGTTACTGCAGCAGCAGCAGCAAGAACCACAGAAGCAGCACCAGCAGCAGCAGCAGCAGCAGCAGCGCCAGCAGCAGCACCAGCACCAGCAGCAGCAGCGCCAGCAGCAGCAGCAGCAGCAGCAGCAGACTACCGCCGCAAACTGAGCGAGGCCGCCACAATGGCATGTTCGCTGCTGCTGCAGAACGGCTTCTTCGCTGCTGAAGACAGTGAGATAAAATTAAACCAAAAAAAGAATAAATAAATAATTAATTAATTAATTAAATTTAATAAATAAATAAATAAATAAATAAATAAATAAATAAATAAATAAATAAATAAATAAATAATAAATTCTGTTTGTTATTTGCCTGCATGCACTCTAGATTGCTGCTGCACAGTGCAGAGTTTGGGGGTTTGTTAGCAGCAGGGTTTAGGGTTTAGGGTTTAGGGTTTAGGGTTTGGGGTTTAGCTTCTAAGGTCCAATACGCAGTGCTGAACTGCTGCGGAATTAGCCACAGCGCTTTAATCTGCTGCTGCTGCTGCTGCTTCTGTGCTCTGCTGCTGCTGCTGCTGCTGCTTCTGTTCTCTGCTGCTGCTGCTGCTGCTGCAGTGCCACGGCTGCTGGTTCCTTTGCGGCATTTGGTGACTCGTCGGAAGGGTAGAAGCAGCAGCAGCAGCAGCAACAGCAGCAGCAGCAACAGCAGCAGCAGCAGCAGCTGCTGCAGCAGCAGAATTAGCAGCAGCAGCCGAGATTTTGATATGCTTCGGCGCGCGTGCACCCTTGCAGTGTCGCTTGCAGCCTGCAAGCCTTTGTTTGCTGCAGCAGCCCCAGCAGCAGCAGCAGAAGCAGCAGCAGCAGCAGCAGCAGCAGCAGCAGCAGCAAAGGCGCAGCGAACCAGTGCTTGTCTTGCCATTCAGTTTTTGATTCACCCGTAAGTCCGGAAAAATAATAAATAAATAAATAAATAAATAAATAAATAAATAAATAAATAAATAATAAATAATAAATAATAAATAAATAAACAATAAATAAATTCGAATTAAAGAGGAGATTTAAAATAAATAAGAATTAATTTGGCAGCAGCAGCAGATTGTTTCTGTACATTGCTGCTGCTACAGCAGTGGCTGCTGCTGGTCTTACTGCTGCTGCAGCTGTGGCTGTTGCGGCTGTTGCTGCTGCTGTTGCTGTTGCTGCTAATGTTGCTGCTGCTGCTGCTGTTGCTGCTAATGTTGCTGCTGCTGCTGCTGCTGTTTCTGTTCAGTTATCCAAAGTTGAGGGCTCTTGCTGCAGAGCAGCTGTATTCATTCTTGCTGCTGCTGCCGCCAACGGATTGCCAGCAGCAGCAGCAGCAGCAGCAGCAGCAGCAGCAGCAGCAGCAGCAATATTCTGCGTTCAAGCTGCAGCAGCAGCAAATTGATGCAGCTGTGGAGCTGCTGATCACAACTCCATGGGTGCAGCTGCCGCAGTGGAACCAGCAGCAGCAGCAGCAGCCGCAGCAGCAGCAGCAGGGGAAACAGGAGCAGCAGCAACAGCAGCAGCAACAGCAGCAGCAGCAGCAGC